CCAAGCCGCGGGTGGCTGGAAGAGAGGCCCCCCAGGGGGCCTTTCGTTCGAGACTGTTGCTTCCGAACCAGCAGAAAAGACACAAGCGACCCCTAAAAATAAGACACAAGTGAACCCCAAAAAAAAGACCCAGGTGACCCCCCTTCCGAGGGAGAACATGAGAGCATAACGTGCCCTACATCTTCAAACATAATCTGTGAAGACCGTTTTCAAGCAGAAGATGTGAAGCTTGGGATTCAATGGCGAGGTCGCTTCTAAACGTCAGCCCGAGCTTCTAAGCACACGAAGATAAGCTTGGCAAACACCAAAAAAGGAGATCAATAAACCCATTGGTGTAATTTCGAATGGTCAAACTGGACGAGGCAGTTGTAAAAGAAGGGCGTCTGCTGAAACAAGAGTGTGTCAGAAAACAGCCAGATATCTTCGATGCAGACCCTCAGTAGTCGGATCATGACTGCCTAAGATTCTGAGTTTATTCATAACAGTGTGCTGCCAATGCATTACTGTCATCCTTATTGAATTTTGTGCTTGTAGCTTCATCTATAAGTATTGGTTAACGCGGTTGTCAGCATGGTTCTGCCAAATGCCGAGGAGCACTTCGTAAACCCTGCTACATTACTCACCCGCCCCCTCAGCCAAAGAGCAAGGACATCGAGAGGTTGAGGGCATAGTAGAGCAAGTTTTTGCCTACCTTGCGAAGTGCATGTCTATTCCAGAATTCCGGCTGATCCGCTTGTGTAGGCGACACTGCGTAGGTTGGCTGTGTCGTCTATGTTGACAGCACTCTTCCGGTTCGCTTTCTACCGTGTCCCACTGCATGCGTCATCATGAATCACGAAATGGAAGAGAATGAAAGGTGTCTGCACGCATGGTCGCTCATAACAGCACTGCATGCAAGGCTGCTTGTCCCCATAGGAAAGCACCGTCCATGCTCCAAAAGCTCTGGCAAGTGTCATCAAAACCTTCACCAGGTGGAGGTGCACGACATGCAATCGGGAGCTACGTGCGGCAAGCTCACGTGTCCCGCCACCGCAAGGCCCTTTTCGAAATCCATCGGCGCTGAACCAGGAACACAAACTTGCGTTACGTCTTCGAAGGTTTGACAGGCCCCTGCTCAACAAGCCTCCTACCCCTAGATCCTGGGTGCCTCACTTCTACCCTTGAAAGCTTCTGGGACTTGCCTTGAATTATCGGCTGTCCTCCCAAGTACATCATGGCATACACGCCCATGGCCACTCCAGCAACCACCAAACGGCGGAGGATGTTCCTCACAGCTTCATGCGACGACTTCTGGACATAACAGCGGAGTCTATACGTGACATGAATGAAATTATGAAAACCCCAGGGTCTTGGGCCATAGAGGGGGGCTTTCTTGCCCGATGCCTCCAGAAAGGGACTGCTTACAGCACAGCATGCCTAACTTGCGACGACGGCTGTCGAGGTCAGGTTGGAGAAATCCTCGCTCTTTGGCTGGAGCTGCCCGGTAAGTCCAAGCTTGAACTAAATCTCGACCTTCCACCAAGAATCTCTGCTACATGCAAGCCGCTTACTGTATTCAATGGCCGTCGCTTGTGCATGGGGGGCTGCCTTGTGGCAAAAATAAAACCACCCAGCCCAGCAACTGGTCGTCTGCAACGAAGGTGAGCACCTTGAAAATTTTGTCGCCGCTGTAGAACCCAATCCAGTAGCACGGGATGAAAATGAGTGCCTCAGTGGGACTACAATGCAGCCACGAGGGGGAATTACTGTAAGCAGGCAGGCTTGCATCCAAATCCATCTCCTATGCCAAAGAGCATGGCCCACCATGCTGCTTGCCGCTGGCGAGCTTGGTTGCACCCACCTTGGATTGCACAACAGCTTCGCAACGAATGGTCACGGGGACGGGTTGAGTCCTTGATCTTCGCCACTTGAGGCCTTAGGCTTGGTCCAGGAAACTCACGACGAAGGCTTCAGTCCTGCCCGGACCCGAACGCATGCGAACAACAAGAACCCTGAAACTCTGTACTTGCCCTCGATACGCTTTTCTTGCAGCTGTTCGCCAGAGACTGTCAATGCAGGGTAGCCGGCCCCAAATACATCTACAGAAACAACCAAAATACCTGAAATGCCCTCCAGGGCCACAAAGCCCCTACCCAGGTTACCAGGAAAGGCACCAACCGGCTGTGTAGTGCGCCACAGTCTGGGCCCAAGGCATCGCCTGCGAGCGCGACACACAACGGGTTGCTTCAAGTCCTAGCTAGGGGTCTATATATGGGCTACCATACCGGGTGGAAGATAATGGCCGTCATAGCCAAACTTAGCCTAAAACAAAACAGACCCATCGCAGTATCGATGCAAAGCACGGATGCAGCGGCATAGCCCGAACGCTTAGGCCTAGGTATGAATGCAATGAGTGACAAGCGAGCATCTTTTTCAGTGACAAACAGGATAGCAGCCCATCTGTGCCAATTTTGCTCTGCTTAACAGGCTTGCCAGCACTAGCAAATTCTCGCATACCAAACATGCCTACCGCTGCTGAACCTGGCGCCTGGATGTGAGCACAAAGAGCTGGGAAAAGATCGTGAGTGCAGTCTGCCACAAAGACGAATATCTTGCCCCCATCCAACTCGAAACTTGAGATTTGCATGGTTTGCTCGAGCCCTACGTGGTGCAACGAAAGGTGCCTGCCAAGGGCAGAAGCACTGCGATGGGCATGTGGCATCAAGGTACGGCTGCGGCGACCCGGGGCCTGCACAAGCTTGCCGGTGAAAGACTTAAAGAAAGCCTTCTCACGACATCATTTGCATCTTCAAGTCAGAGAATGGCAGCTCCAGCTGCTGCAAGGCATCTGCATCTCCGAGAGGTCTTGTGCACTGCAAGAAGCAGGGCATGCAACAGCTTCAGCACTCAAAGGGCCGGATCCTCGCACCCGACCCGACAGAAGGCAGACTGCGAAGTTCGCAGCAGCTTTCGCCTTCTCGCCACCCGATGTACATGTCGATGAAAGCAGGTGCAATGATCCAGATCTGTGACGCGAGCCTGGGCTACTACGCAGCAATCCCAAGACCCCTCGACCAAATGTCTCTCCTCAGAAGAGTCTCAGCCATCCCAGAACCTGAAGACCCTGCGGACTTCGGCTTGCCGTCCAACGCACTTCATCTTACAATCCATTCTGCTTAATCTGCACTGGTATGCGTATGTATGCGTTCACTCGGCCATAATAGGCCGAGTACCACTGCAGTGCCCAGTTCTGCTACTTTGATTACATGAACTAGCTAAGACGATCTTGAGTATTGCTAGTGTCCGTCTGAAACCCCGAAGGTCCTAAAGCCAAAGCCAAGGCCGAGCCGCAGCAAATGCAGCTTCTCGAGGCCAAGATGGTGCATGGCGCCTGGGCTTGTCACTCGCGCACTCAAAAGAAGGGTTGGGGGTTTAGGGTGCCATAGGGGTACCGTAAGGGTGCTGTAGGGTATGTAATATACGGGTGCTGCCTTGCTTTTCCAGCCTGCTGGAACTCTTGAGGGTTGCGGCGCTCACGCTCGGACGCTCCAGCGTCCCGGTCCAGGGCATTTAGCTGGGGCGCTGCCAAGATTGCTCACGTGACTTAGCTTGCAGGCTCTTGCCGAGACTGTTGGCCTTCTGCGGCAAGCAGACACTTGGAATAACTCAAGAGCAGCCGAACCGAAGTTCGACCGGAGTTGTGCCCGGGGAAGTGGAGGCAGAAGCGGCTGGGCAAGGCGGGACCGGGAAACGTCACAGGCTTCGTTCAAAATTGCTGGCATATGTCTTCTTGGGTAAGGTTACCGTGCGACAAAGTGAGCATGCCTTAGCTTAGCTGAAGTCGCCGCCGTTCAGTGACTTGCAGAGACTTCGGTGGTTAACTTTGTCGGTGACTTGTTGGAGCTGTCGCCGCCCAGGCACAGAAGGCGGCCCGCATGTACACGAACACGGGAAGGTACCACCTCAGTTCAACCAACACAAGTCTGTACATCCGTCTGCCCCCCGCGCACGCATGCGGCACACACACGCACACACATCCTTTCTTGGGTCAGAATCAAACTTTGCCCTGGAGACTGCTCCACCAATGTCAGCGGCTATCACCAGACGTCCCAGACTTCGACAGTCCTCCAATCCACACAAAAAGTCCGTGGTATGGGCTCTGACGACTGGCTTTCCGTTCCGCCATTCCCTGGTTTGAGGCCAGGAAAAGTGGGGAGGAAATGTCCATCCCGGCCGCATGGTCCAGTTGAAGTCCAAGAGAAGCCACAGGACCAGAAACCTCAAGCTCTGCATTTTACGACTTGAGTAGTTGGACGAGTGAGGGCTCTCCATTTACAGGTCCGGATCTACCGAACCTAATGCCTCCTAGATTACTCACCGCCGAGGCAGGGATGCTGTTACAGATTTTGGAAGCAAGACACCAACCCGTAAATAGTGCTGCTCGGCTGTTCGAACAACTTCCATGGCAGGCGAAGGGAAGGGCTTCAAGAATCAGACAGGGCCCGAAAGAAATGTGCAGTTTTATGAAGGAACCCTAAGGCCCTAAGGAAAAAGATAGGTCCCCCTGAAAATCAACTTCTGCAAGCCCGAGTGACAGAGGCTCGCGGTAAGTGAGGCCGTACGGGCGCATGGCACGTGTGTCGTCGAAGCCACCTCAGGCAAGGCACCAACCTCTCTTTGGCGGAGGGCATTCGGGCGACCGTGACTTTCCAGAGATGGGGCCTTTCTGCATGAGCCGAAAGCCAGGTTTGGGCATCCGCCGTTCCAAGCTCTTTTGCTTTCTGCCCCTACGTCGCCTTCACAGAACCAGTGCACTTTCAATCTGCTGTTTCAGCCGCAGTGGTATGGCAGTGGTAGTGGTAGTGGTGAGAAACCAAGGCCCCGAAGATCCCTTCGCCCAGCTAAGCGCGAAGCTCAGGAATGCCAAAGAAGACCATCCTCCACTTCGAACCACCTCCGCGCGACAGGTGCCCCGCTTTTGTGACAGCTTTGACATGGCTGTACTTCTACCACGGAGGGGGCGCCCCCACAAACGGTACCGGGTGGCGATAACGGAACGTGCCGGGGCCAGATTCGCCTAAACGAGGCCGTCGGGCCCGGGCCGCAAGAAGTTTAACGACCACGGTCTTTGAGTGTTTGTGGTTTCTCTAATTTGAACATGCAAAGCCTGCGGCTTAGCCTTGGCGGTCCGGCCCCGCCGCGTACTCAAAACCTTTTGCACATCCGCGAAGACTCCGTGGAGCTACTCAGAGACCCAGGAACCCTCACGTGGAAGACCGCAAGGTTGTTGTATGGAGCCCCAACACCCCCGACGTGATTCTTGTTGCACCGCCTGCAGCAAGAGCAACTCCCTTGGACCCCACTGGTGTGAGGTAAGGGGTTGAAACTCGCCGTCGATCATCTCGGAAGGGTTCAACGGGTTCCTGAGGCCAGGAACATGCTAGGACCGCTAGGATTCGGTGCAGATCCTGCAATGGCAATGGCTTCTTGGGATAGGGCTGTTGTGAGGGGCCTGAGGGCAGGTGCGGATGCTTCGGCTGCAATAGGACTGCACGACCTGTCCAGGGTTACCTGGAAGCCTACCGGCAGTGCAAACCTGTGTGTTGTTTCAGCCCCCGGCTGTCAGGCTCCCCAGCTCCCAGCGGATCCGAACCACCCGGGCAAATGCCGTCAAGCAACAGTGGAATGGCATGTGAATGGAGTACGATGCCAATGAGAATTGCGCGCACGTTGTCCAGGACCTGCAGCTGCATTTGAGAGCTTCCGTCTACTCTTTCATTTCGTCTGGCACGATCTGATTGCAAGAGCGCGTGATTCCCAAACAGAAGGGCCATCGGGAAGATGCACCTTTTGAGTTCAAACCCAGGCACATCAAGCCCGAAGTCGAAACCCTGACATTCCGGATGTCCCACGCATGTTCTTGGGTGGTCCTCCTTAGAACCACGGCCTCCCTCCCTCCAGCCGCGAAAAGCCCCAAGAAACCGCAAGAATCATTCAGTGGTGCCTTGTCTTCCGACGCAGCCTTGCGTGTAAACTTGCGCATCTGACCCAAGCTGTCCTCCACAAAGCTCTTTTGGCGCGAGCTCCGAAAGCAAAAAAGTGGCTGACATTTCAGGGAGGTACCAATCTGCGCGCGGCTGTGGATGTTCATGTGCATCGCTCTCGAGGTTTCGCATCCAAAAGTCGGCCCGGTAGCTAGACAAAACAGCTAAACCCAACAAGTCATCTGCCTAAACCCTAGTCAACATACCGCTTATCATCAAACAGCGGCGTCCAGCTCCATCACGACCTCTGCACCGTCTGCGCGCGCCTGTCGGCCGCAGGGCTGAGGGCTGGTCCCAGATAAACTTTGGAAGACGGGCCCCGCAACCAAGTTCTAGTGTACCTCGCGTTTGGCTTCCTCTGAGATCCCCTGCGAAGTCTGGCCGCCTCTTGAATCTACCTCTCTGCTCTCAGCAACACCTGAATCCAACAACAGCACGCTGCCTCCGGCTTTGGCAGTGCCTTCTTGTTCACCTTGCCGGTGGGTAGCCGCGGAACCTGGAGCAGTGGCTGCCAGCGTAGCTTCGCTGTGCGTTCGGGCTTTGTGCAGCTTGGTACATGCACACTGAAACAAGGGTGGGCAGCAACACGCACAAACACAGAGACAGAGGCAGATCCGCTTCTCGCGAAATGCACAGCTACGTTGAGCGCCCTGTTTCGAGACAGCTTAAGAGTCACATCCGTCTCTGAAATCCCAGTGGTTCTCTCAGTGTCGGTGGCCTCTTCAAGGCCTTGGAAAATGTGCGGCACCATGTAGGACACCAAGTGCTCCTGGCAAGGCCCGCCATCTGCCAGCCACCGTCCCTAGAAGCTTTGCTTGATGCACCGATGTATCGCAAACCCTTCAGCACGGACTGAGGTGCCGGCCAGCGCCCACGCAACTCTCACCCCCTCTTAAGGCGAGAGCAAACCCTACACTCTATACCTTGAACCTTGCACCCGAAACTCCAGAGCATGTTATAGTAGGAGTTCATTGAGAATGCTTCGGCCCGGGTCTCCTTGCAGAAGTCGCGCAGGTTGGCCGGGACAGCTGGGTGAATGTAAGCTACCAGCTTGTCCTCGCGTCTCGGGCAGGGGGTGGGAGCAAGTTCCTCGCACTTTCAGAAGACTTTCTGGCACCAGTCATAAATTACACGCTTCATCCGACAAGACGCAACGATGGAGGAATGACGAAACAAAAGAAAAGCTCAGAGGTCCGACTTTATCTGGCTTGGCTAGGCACAGCCCCGCAGTCTGTGGAAACCATGTAAACACTGCAAAAATCTACTCCCGAGAAACCTCCTGGCTCCCATGCTCCTCGTGCACGGTTACCACGGCGAACTTGACGGCTGGGTGGGCCGCAAGAGTGCCTTCTACCTGTCGATGTTGCCGTTTGCTCGTCGGAATGCTTCAAGAGCCGTTTCAGTACAAAGAGCCCGGCAATCGGTATCACACATTTGGGCCTCGCAGGCCCCAGAGCCTCACCCTGGGCATGCAAACCGAGCTTTGGCGGGAACTTCTGCATATTCCGAAATCTCGCCTTCGACGCATTTTCCCTAGCATGCGAATGTCCGAACAGACGCCGTGCTTGAACAAGACTGCACTCGCAACCAGGAGGGAGCCATCCGGTGCCTCCCCAAGCTCTATCCGGGCACCACGGACCTGAAACACGAGCAGATGAGGCACAGGGCTCGAACTGGCAATGACGACGATGCTGAGGCTAGTGGTGGTGACTATGACTATGACGATAGAGCTTCTTCGATTCCAGCCCTCAGCGAAAAGAGCTCCGTGGCATGAGGGTACCATGTGCCGACGAACAGCTTTCCACCTGAGGTCCACGACACTTGCCCCTCCGGAAGTGGAATCAGCAAAGAACACGGATGTTCCAGCCTTGACCATGGAGTCTCTTCGGCCGACTAACTTCAGCTTGCCGGTGTTCGTCCAATGCGCCAGGTCCTTACATGGTTGCAGAGAGGGGGCACCATGCCAGTCCCCAAATCGTAGGATCCTAATGCAGCGCCCCCCCCTTTTCGAGAAGGACCTCTAGCACCAAAGAACCCTAGAACCCTATGTCCTTCACCTGACAAAAGCCACTGTGAACTATGCAGATCACCTCAACGCAGAACTTGGAATCACCGTGTCCAAAGAGTGTTCGTCGACGATTCTGGTAGAATCTGTGAATCGAAGATGTTGACCGGACAGCTTGGCAAGCCTCGACCCCAAGACTTTCCACCCCTCCGCGACGCCCACGTGCTGAAGGCACAACACGAGCTGCTCATCTGCCCTTCGGCAATTCCCGGCACCATGCGAGATCATGCAAGTACCCTCCATCTCTGCACCGTCGGTGCTAGGAACGCGAAGGAGGATTGCCAATCACCGTAAAAGATGTGTCAAGGGCCAGCAATGCGCGCAACGGCTGCGATCCGCTGCGAATGCAAAAAACCCAGCAAGGTGTTGCGTGTCTTCCGGGCCGGGGTGCAATCAGTTGGCCTTTATGGGTGCCACCAAAGAGACTAAAGTGGCTCAGAGGAGTGGTTGCTGGTTTTGCTGGCAGGAAGAAGCTTGGATCCACTGACCTGATGGTTGATTTTCGGGCAGGCAGCAGCAGTGACCCTGAGGAGGCCATTATCTCACAGCATTTCCGCACCTTCCATAGGTTGCTGGTGGCGTGGGGTGCAGAACTCAATGATGCCATGCACTCCGCGTTCATGCAGCTATAGCATAGCCATGTGCTACATGCGGGAGCTGGGCTGATCGGTGGCAAACTGGCACTAAAGGTGGGATGTCTCCACCAAGTGTGGAGTGTGGCCTACTGCAGCGCTTGCATGATGACGTCACCAAGCAGCGCTGGGCTACTATTGCTGCGTCGGAAGAGGACCCAGCTCTGCAACAGGGCCTTGACTGGGAGCCTCATAAGCAAATGCTTAAGAAAGCCACGCCCTTCCAAAAGTCGGTCCTACAACCTGTCTGGCAAAGAGCCGTGACAAAAAGACCGAACTGAGGCCGGGCGTCCCCGGTGCGTACGGCCCGTCGACAATCAAGAGCTCGGCAAGCAGGAAGGAAGGTTTCGGCCGTCTTCTCTGGCAGATTCCTTAGCTTCGCTCTCGTCCGACGCCTTCGGACAAACTGTCGGTGGGCCCAAGCCGTTGCCAGGAGTTCACCAGTCAGTCAGGCAGTCCATCAGTCAGTATGTATGTCTGCACGTATACATACATGCATACATACACAACTCGTATTTATGGCACGTACTTTTTACATTTTATATGTGCTCCGGTGCTGTTTCCATTCATGACTACATTGTTACTCTGATGAGTCTGCCCTGCTGAGGGTTGTCAGCAACATGAAAATACTCCCAAGGACCCTGATTACTCAGAAGTAAACGCAACACCAACCAAAAGCCCAAACTACAGACGTCTACTTGCCCAAGAACCGTCTAAACAACCCGCATGCTTCAGCCGGGAGGTCAGGTAGCCAGAGGCCAGACCGGGCCCTGCCACAGTGATCTCGCCGATAGCGCCGACGCCCACGCGCATGAGACCCTGATCCTGAGCTTCCAGATGCCCAGAATCCCATGCCTGGTAAGGGACCCTTCTCCGTAAATTATCGAATCGTATTCTGAAGCTCCAAAATGAGGAGCTTGCCGAACTGAGTGCGGCCCTCCCCCCAACCCAACAAAAGCCAAAAGCTCTTCCTTTATGTCAAGTCAAGGCAATGCAGAGCTCTCGGCAAGGCTAAACTCCACACTGACGCAGCCGAAGTTCAATTAAGCTCAATTATGCCTTGCCAACGATTGCAAAAGCGGAGCAAGGCATCAACCTTTCTTCATATCGCCCCCCAAAAATAAAACAAAGCAAAACTTAGCCCGGAACCCTGCCGCGGTAATTATTCAAGCCCCGGTATGATCTTTCCGAGCACGTCTGCCCAGGCGCTAGGATAGCCATGGTCTGTGCTGCGTGTGGGTGCCTGTGGGGAGGGTCGGAGGCTTTCACTTTGTAGAGTCGAGTGGAGCATAGTGTGGCACAGTATATGGTAGCATACAATAGTATAGCATTGTAGGTCCATAGACCCTTTGGGGTCTGCTCGGGTGCAAAGCGCAAGGTTGGGTGCACAGCTTCTCAGCCGGGCGATTCTAGACTTCTCTTTAGCCAGCTTTAGAAACGCCCAGTATCCCAGCGTGCAGATTGCGAATTTCCACTGAGACACTAAGAGCCTGAAAGGAGCCTGCGCAATTCCTGAAAAGGAAATCCGATAGTCATTTCAAGTCTGCCATTTTCATAACCTACAGCACTAAATCCAAGCACCCTGAAACCGAAACCCTGCCTCCTTCCTGTTCCCATGTCCTACACACCTGCAGCCACAATTCTACGCCATTCCTGTAGCCGAAGGCACCCAGCAGTGACGAAGCCGCTCTCATGGGTGCCAGCCTCGACGTCCTGGAGGCTCCTCATCCTCAGTGATTAAGTTTTTTTTCCTACGTCCAGGCACGGCTCTTCAGGCCGGAGGAACAACCAGAACACCGCGGTCAGGACTCCGACGAAGTGACACTTTGCTTTTGTTTCGGGGTTTCGGGTCTCGACTCTCACTCTCGGACAGCTCCCGGCGGGGTGTCCATCTGCGCTTACACTCGGACTATCTCGGACTGCCCAATGGGTCGACTCGGACAGACCCAAGTGCGCCACAAATCGAGGCATGCACGTGTTGAGTGCTTAGGGCCTCTTGGGGATGGGCACGTCGGATCCCACGCTTTGGACAAGTGCACAGATCGATATGTGGCAACTCACTCAACCTGAGCATGCTGGAACCTTCAGAACTTGAGGCAAGGACTTTTTTGGCAAGGTCGGGGTTGCTCATTATCACTCTCAGTTTCACTCATCCATACTCAGTACCGATGGGTTCAAGCTGATTAGACAGATTCAGCTCATCGATGCTGTTTGGCGTGCAGAAACAGAATTAGTCACCGAGCATCTGCAGTTGCGTGACATCTCCCTGCTCCGTACCACTGTAGCCTAAGTGTTTCGGCTTGCATGCGGCAGCCCTGCGTGAGCAAGCACTTGGTTTCTGCTTCTCCATGCCCGCCGGTCCATTCCGCATACAATCATCCCGCCCTGACAAAGGCAGCCGAAATTGACCATCATCGCTACGTCCCAGCGACCGCACAAGAAGCCTCACAGCTTAAGTGCTACCTGATGCCATCACAGCGCGGTCTCATATTGCAACCCCAATGCGTGCAGGACATTCAAAGCTGCCAACCTCCCCCTCAAGAAAACATTCACAGAGCGTGGCCCGTGTAGAGGATGCCAGGCGCACCGCCGGAGGCCTTTCGTGGGCCGCTGAGCAGACTTCGTTACAAGGCCGGATTCGTGTAACAGGTTGTGGCGAGGGGAATCGGAAACAGGCCCGAGCCTGAGGAAGCATGGGCACCACTCTCTCGCAAAGCTCCGATGGGACCGCCGCACCACCGACTCCGATGTGAGATAGGCTCGGCGGCAGGCCCTCCTGTTGAATGAGTGTAGGCTCTTAGGCATTCCGCAAGGGCTTGCTTTTCGTATTGTTGCGTCTGTAATGTTGTTATGAAGTGTGCACGGCCCTTGCCTCCGCGAAAAGGTCGAGCACTGCCGGTACGAACCCCCCATGTGTAGCTCCATGTTCCTTGGCGAACTGGTTGAGATCCGAGGGCAGCACCTGAGCCCAGGAAGCGTAATCACGTAGTGAAGCGATGCCCCTCAGAAGAATGAATCCTACCCCGAAACCCAACCTAAACTCATTACCCATGCACTCCGACATTCCGACTTCACCATCACAATTCAGGCAAAGCTCTATGTGCTTCTCGCTCTCTGGGAAAAAGAGGCAAGTGCCTCCAGACACCAAGGGACCAAAGAGGTTGTCCAAGAAGGGCATCCAAGTCCTCAGAACACGCCCCCTGGAAACCACAACCCACCTTCTGGAGCATTCTGGAGCCTTTGTTTGACAGCAAGAGTCGTTCGCTTTGCCGCAGCTAAGGCACGGGGAGTGGTAGCACAGAGTCTTTGTAGCCGGAGTCATGCTCTTGGACTCTGCGATGCCCGCCACCAACGTGGTGACGTAGCCATGGGAGAGCACGATGCCCTTGGGCTTTCCTGTGGAGCCACTGGTGAAGAGCATCAGAGCCGTGTCTCCCTCATGAGCCTTGCACAAGTCCGGCTCTGCGGCGTACTTGGCATAGAAGGCTCCGTCCACCACCAGAGCGGGGCAAGGTAGCTCAGGAAGCAAAGCTAGTGAGGAGGGCTCCACCAAGGCCACTGCAACATCTGCATCCAATGCGGACTGCTTGATGCGCTCCTGTGGCCAGGCTACATCCACAGGCACCATCGGAAAGCCGGATTGCAGGATGCCAAGGAACGTGGGTCCTATAGCCTCACCGCGACCCATGCACATTAAAGCAGCACCCCGGTGCTCCCGCACGGCCCGGCAAACGGCCGCCGCTCGCTGGTGCAGCTCTGCATAAGTGATCTTGAAGCCAGCTCCCTGCACTGCTACTGCGGTTCCGTTGCGGTGACGTTCGTACACGATCTCGTGGACGCAGCGTAGGTCGCTGAAGGACTTTGTGGCAGAGCCCCAGCGCTTGACGGCCTCAGCAGCGCTCTTCGGCACAAAGCTGACCTCAAAGAGGTTCTGGTCGGGGTCTTTGGCAAAGGCCTCGAAGCAGGCCTTGAAGGACTCCTCCTCTTCCACTGTTGGTCCCTTGAGCACCAAGCTTGTCCCCTCCAGGCTGGCGATCCACTCGCCCGGGCCCACTTCGCCCACTTCGCGCGCTTCGGTCGAGGCCCCGAAAGAGAGGGTAACCTTCCACACAGATACGCACACACACACAAACACACAAAAAAAAACACAATCTACATGGATACCCTTTCAAGCCGCAAGTGGCAGCTTCAGACGTCACACGGCTGTACAGGTAAAGACTGGCCTCGGGTGCTTCTGTGCTGCTCTCGCCACTGGCGGCGAGCAAGCTCGTCACCTTAAACGCTTGCATTCAAGACAAGGATTGGGCTATAAACTCTCCTCGCGTAACTTTACCCAATTACGAGGAGTAAGAGGGACGTGTTAGGAGCTCAAGATCGGAAAAGCTTCGGCTATCGGGTAGAGCGCTAGAGATCACCAGCTTGGAGATAAGCGGTTCGGCAAGTCTCGGTCTGGGGCTGCGTCATACTCTAAGCGAGTACGACCTGGAGGAGTTCTGCTTGTTGCATCGCATTTCAATGTCAATCGACGGTTGCTCCTGTCAATTCCGCGATGTTGCAGGAAGCGCATGCAGGCTGTGCATGCAGTTTCGGCCTGAGCCTTCTACAAGCAGTGAGCCGGTGCTACAGGATGAGAACATGCGCCACGGAAGGCAAGTGAACGTGGCGTTGCGGGTGTACGATGGTAGGCGTGGTAGGCATTTGTATTTCTAGTGTATGCCTATCTAAGCCGCTAAGTCTACGTACCGCCTTCTTGATTGGGGTGTGTAGCCAACGGACCTGCAGCATTCAAGAAGAAGCTGCAGGAATCGGCAGCCCCTACGTGACAAACACAGGCAAACTGCGGAACTTTTGCCGCCGACGATCAACTAACGTCCAAGCGAGGATTGAACGAGCAGAAGCATGTGCAACCAAACAACTGTCACACTACCGTGATGCTGTTGTACCGTCCCTGTAATTGTGGCACAATAGTAGAATGATAGTCTTCTAGTACAATTCTCACCAAATGTACTTGTCGTATTGCAGAACATTTATGCCGCGGCCATAGTATAGCCATTTGTAGCCCCCTGAATTGAGGCAGTGCTGCAGTTGCCACCAACGATTTGAGGGTGAGGCCTGGTTCGAGCTCGACCTCATCAGCTGGGCTTTTTGCACAGGTCAATGGAGACTTGAAGAGGGGGATGGGTTTCTTTTTGAAGGATTCCAGGTTTCGACTCACACACTCGCTCAAGGCAGGTTTAGGGATCCTTGTGAAATTCTTGCGTGGGTGTGAAAGGTCCCTAAAGCGTGATTCTCACTTGGTGCTTGCAGCTCTACTTCAGCAGAGGCTGAAAAACGAATCTCGTGATCGTAAGCCCGATGCCCCGTCATGATCAAGAGATCGTACCAAACACCTGAACTATGATGTTGACCCCAAGCAGCCTCCACCACCCGGAGTGCACCGCTCAGGCCACGATAGCCGAGGGCGACCTCAGCAATTCAACGGCTGTGTCCTCGTAAGCCGCAGTCCCAAAGCCTCTCTTGCTGCCCTTTGACCATGATTTTTTCGTGCACACGGGAAGATCCTGACCTTCCCGAAACCCCTTTTGGCATCCTTGTGCAACCGCCGGAACATTGACTTCCAGAACTTCTATGTAAACGTCCTTAACCTTTTGAAAGGAAGCTCTGAAGTTGCCTGGCGCTCAACGGGACCCGAATCAGTAAAATAACTTGAAAGCCTCTCAGCCCCGTCAAATCCACTACCCTATGTACCCTTCTAGTACAGTACCCTGCAGTACCCTATAATTCTCCAGAGCCAGGCCTACTCCACCGGCCACGCTGCAACCACCACCACAAACAGTCAATGAATCGTCGCATACGCGACGGCAACTTTCTCTTCGCTGCCCCATGGCAAAATTCAGTGCCCGCAAAGGCTAAAAATAGCAAACACCTATACACTCTCACACACACACAAAGTACATCCATCCATCATCCATCCATCCATCCATCCGTACATACATGCAGGGGCTTTTCAGTCCCCATGTACGCACCTACTTGTATGCTTACCGAGTTATCTACAACCAAGTCATGGCTTAGTCCATTTAAGCTATGTGTGAAACCGACACCATGCTTCCTCGTGTATCGCGGTTCTCCGCCTCTTAAATCCGCAGACTTTCAAAGCCACGCGGCCGCGTTGTAGCGGCGCCGCTGCAAGACCGTCAGCAGGGCAGCCAAGGTTGCCATCTCCAGGCTTTCCCGACCTTAGACGATGCAATTCGTGTGTGTGTGTGTGTGTGTGTGCATGTGAATATGTATGTATGCTGTAGATAGATAGATCGATAGATAGTCATCTAGTCTGTACATGCAAGTTCATAGATACGCATACATATCTCAGTTGGGACGGCTGTAATCGGTAGGTTGCCTTAGTTTACAAGATATACCAAAAAAGAACAATCGCATGAACTGCTCGGAGTACTGCGTGGCTTCGTGCGTGTGTGACCAACTGTTCTTTGTGTTTCCTCTCTCTGAACAACAACCACAACCGCCGAAACTGTTCTGCAGTGGAACAAGTCCGTTTCGAAGATGGCGGCTGTGGAGGGCTTATTTCAATTGTTGAGCCCCTCCCCGATCCATCGGTCGCTGGGAGGCAACCCTTGAAACGAAACCCTGAGATGAGACATGATGAGACATTGTGAAGCACGGCACCCATGGCTGCTTCCATCGCAGCACGTTCCACCATCACGCCTGAGCAGCGCGAATTTTGCTTAGTAACTACCTCAAAGGCATCTGCTACTACAAGTATTGGCTGCAGATCGGCTTCTGTTCTAGTTTGTGAAGCTCTGACAACGGGAGTCAACATTCACATCCACATCAAAGGCAAGATTGGCCGGTGTCGCGGCGATTTAACACGGGTCCGTCGAGCAAAGCTGCCGGCTGCCCCGGCCGGTGGATTCAAACCATCTAGGGTGGCTGCAGATATCGCCTTGACCTCAGCCTTTAGAGGTTGACAGGGCTGCACCTTCATGTGGCGTCCAGAGATCGGCACGAACCGCTGCTACGTTGGGTCTGTGTTCTGTCTCCGGTCTTGGAAACAAGCCGATGTGCTGGGCATGACGTTGTAAGTTCTATCGGATGACTTCTCAAATTTACTTGCTCTTGCTGAGGTTTTTCCGACCTGCTTTGGTATGCTTGTCGCTCTTCGGAGACTGGCCTCCGCCAGTCTTCTTCTCACCGTTCTCAATGTTGTCCACAAGTAGCCATGTCTTCTTGCCGGCCTTGGCTCTAATAACGTGGGTACAGGTGCCCCAGCAACTCACAATCTTCAACCCTATTCGTCATCGGTCTCCACAAGTCGAACGGGCGCACATGCGAGCCTGTGCCGGTCTGCTTTGTGAAATCTCTCTCTTTTCTGGTGCAGTTTTACGCAAACGCTGAGTGCGAGTTTTGGGGCTTTATCGATGCTGGTTCGCAGCTGATTCCCCCGGCTGCACAGTACTTGTGATTTCCCGGTTTCGGCACCGCCCAGCGAGTCTAATTACACGACGGCCTCTTCTTCAGCACAACCGAATTCAGCTTGCGGCGTCGACGTGCCACCGCGATTTCGCGCACTGGAGGTTTGAGTTTGAAAGTAGATTCGCAAACATCAAAACGGCCGGTTCGCCAGCTATCCCCCCAAACCCACGAAATACAACTCCACCTGCCTGAACGCTACGCTGCCCAGCGGATCCCAGCGGCGGGGGGCGGGTGTCCCGTCATTCAGGGGGTGGCAAACGTACATTCCGGTACTAAACGGCCCTCCCCCTCTTGTCATGAAGGGACTCAACAGGCTTGGGCATCAGCCCCACGAAGTGGCTGGACCATAGGTTAGCATCAGTTGTACCTCCTCTCGGGATCCCCAAAGTTGAAACGTGCGTGCCGAAACACACATGGGCACTCATGCACACACACACACACACGCACACAAACATACGTACTTTTTCTCTCACGCTCTCTCTTTGTCTCTGTGTGCTATACACTTCTCCCCACACAATCCCTGGAGCGAGTTCCGAGAGCTCGATGCCGAAGTTGGCCGTGAACCCAGCTCTCGGCGCCCAGCTGTGCCATTTTCTCCGGCCGGTCTGCTGGCCCATCTCAGCTGCAGTTACTTGCAATACATACGAACAACATGCCATTTCCTTCTGAAAGGATCAAAAAATAACCCATGCTAAGAACCCTAGCAAAAACCCTAACTTAAAAGGAACCCCTAATTTTGGGAGGGATCCCTATACGATGTCCCGGAAGCATTTTAGATGATCACCACCAACACCCCAAAGATGAGAATGGCAACTCATTCTGGTCAAGCTGACGCCCCCTATACTGACTAAGATTCTGAGAACGGAGGACACGGGATGTGATGGATACACCGAAAGCAACGGCATCTACCGATCGTACAGTTGATCTGGGAATTTGGTATACCATGAAAGCGCTCGCAACACCAAGGATGAACCAGTGCATCTTATCATGATATCCTCCCCTCCAGCAAGAGACTCGTCGTGCAATCCCCGAGAACTTTCGTCCGAAACTTTCCACAAGAGTCCCCAACAGTGTCGAACAGTCTAGCGGGCCCTCACTCTCCTGAATACATAGAGATACAAAGCAACGGCTGAGCAAAATTGTGACCTGAATGGCTTCAGCCGAGCAGCTTTTTGCGCAAGGCCTGTATGGCTTGGGCCACGCAGGTTGACTTGAGCCAGTCGCCTTACAGGAAGAGAAGAACCTCAAGAACTCTAAATATACACATACACATAGGTGAATTTTTGGCTCCGACATGGCATCCTATGTATATATATATATATATATATATAAACATACATATCAGTGTTATATAGATCCCCGAAATTTTACTGTAGTCCCCTGGCCCGGGTATTGGCAACATGCTGAGAAGCCGAGCGGGGTCAAGTAAGGCTGTGCGCCCGTGCAGCCAAGGCCGGACACGTGGAGATCGGTGCATTTCTGCTCTCACGCTCGGACGGATGACATGAGGCTCAGAACAGGTGTAGACTTCTGAAACTGTGATATCTGAGCACTCTCGGATCACAAGCTCCAGCGGGGATCGAAATCAGGCCAAGGGGCGGGTCTTCTTGTCACTGAGAGCGCGCTGGAAGCCTTCGGCTTGCTCAGGCAGAATTTACTTATGCCGAGAGGAGAAAAGCTTTGGCTGGCTGGATTTACGTGCTCTGGCCCCTCTCAGGTGCGGCGTCCTTTCAGGTACTGTGGGAACCTAGGCACTCGGACAGCTTGTCTGTTCCATCTCCAACCGACTCCTGCCCTCATGCAGCAGACTCCTGAGTCTGGCCCAGCCACAGATAGCAGCTGTGGCTGCCCCCACGGCTAGCCACAATAGCACATAGTCTGCTGCAGTTGGGAACTTTGTCGGGGCCGTGTTCGCGAACATTTTCCTCGACAGCATCGGCAAGGTGATCAGGGAGTCATCAGGGAATGGGAGCCCGCCTATTTCAAGCTGAAAGGCGCAAGGATGTTAACACCGCTGCCCTCAAAGAGCCACAAACTCTCTTTCCGGAAAGTACCAAGGTCATCTTGAGCAGAGCGACGCGCATCGGCAAAAGCGGGAAGAAGTTCCCAGCCACAAAATTGAGCTCGAGCCCAAAAGCAACGCCCAGGCTTGGAAATCCGAATGGAGACCTCCCCAGGGTTGACCTGGACCCGAATATTCTTACTATTACTAACAGTACCACTATGAATCTTATGCATAGCCTTTACGATTACAATGCTGGTACCGTGAGCATGATTATTTGTATTCGGAGTTCTTAGTGCAATTTTCACCATGCATAGTACTATTCATGTGAGTGTTACTGGCAATACATAAACAGTGGCATTCGTATTAGTATGAACATTAACCTTTTCATAGCAATACCGATTACTTTAGTATTCTTAATTTGCCAACCGTCTCCAACGCCCTACGATGATTACTATTTTTAACAGTATTATTATATTCTCCATTTTTCGTATTACTACTATTCTATATATTTCTACTTGAATTAATATTTCTAGTATCCCTACCGTGCAAACTACCATGTTTAAGAGTACTTTCAATATCATTGTTAATTTCTTCATTTCATTTCTTCTATTTTTGCTGTTGCTTTGTGTTGTTGATTGTAATATTGGAAATATTACTATTGTTTGTATTATGATTACGATTGTTCTCAATATTGGCAATTGTTTACTGTTGCTACTATCTATAGAAATACCACTTATTTTTGAAGCGCAATGAAGTCGTCCAAGACCAGTGGCAAGGAACCATGGAAGTGCATCTGTGGGGCTTAGCTTGCCCACTGCTTCCCTCGTGCACTGCATCCGACTCTCCTGTGGCGCATTTTTCCGTGCATTCATTTGGAGGCTTCGCGTGCGCGTCCGAAGTCCAGGCCTCATGCTCCGGGAGGTTGTTTGAGTTGAAACAAAGGCGAAAGGGTGCAGTTCGTTGGAACTCCTCGAGATGGAAGTTGTAATGGTGGTTTGCAAACAGACTCCCATGCTGAGGCAAACCAAGCCCCCATGCCTGCGACCCGCCCTCGCAAGACAATCCCCGCCCGAATCCGACGACCGTACTGTTACAGAGCATGGCGTCTCTGGAAAGCACAAAGAGACTAAGCTCTGGGCCGGATGACCGGGATTCGCGGCCTTCGACGGCAGGACAGCTGAGGAAGTGCGGGGCAAACATACAACATTGCAATACAACATGCAGAAACAACAAGGGACCCGAAGGCACCCTGGAACAGCTAGTTCAGACCGAAACAGATCAGGTCCCGAGAGAGAATCTGGCCAAAACGCCCTCGACTGGATGCATCCAACGGCTGCTCTAGACCAAACGGGAGAACAGCAGCGGGCTGGTTGATACCAAACAAGCATGTGCCACACTCTGACTCTCAGTCACGTACCCGAACCTGGTATTTGTCGTAATGACCGTAATGCAAGCCCGACGTTGAAACTGAAACCCTGCAATTGGAAAAGGGGCACAACAAGCCGGCTTGAGCGTGCCCCTCCTGCCTTCCTCTGCGCGAGTGGCCTCACAATTTCGACAGATTTATGGGATCTTGAGCACATCAGGGCCTATGACCTCAAGGCAGGCTGCTTCGCGTGAGAATCCGTGCCTTCTGCTTTTTTGCAGAGCATGGGCTGTGGAATATACTGGACTGCGGCTTGAGAGCGATCTGCAGGGGGGCTCAGGACCCCAAAAACTGGGACCCGCTTCAGGCAAAAACCGTTCCGGCCTTCTCGCTGCTGCTGGGGCGAAGGCCTGAAGGAAAGAGTAGCCCCGGCTTCAAACTCTTTAAAGGTTGAGCTCTGACATCCTGCCAGATGGCGCCAGCTTCAAGAAAGGTGAGGTCATTCGAGATTGCTTGAATGGAGCCGCAGAAACTTTAACCGCCATGATGACGTCAGAGAGCAGTGTGTTTTGCCTTTGTCTCGCCGTCGCAACCCCTAGGGTATAGTTAGCAGCAGCACGTGCTTCGCACCACTGCCATCCGGGGAAGCGGTACCATTATCTGGAGGCGTTCCTCCGCCGTGGCTGTGGGAAAACCCTGACCAAGTTTGAGCAAGAGAGTAGTTGGGAGGGGCGCGCTTTCGACAGCCACGACCGTTCCATGCATTAGGGACATTATCTCGATGCGGAGGCACCAAGATTTGGAGCGTCAAGGGAAGCAAGCAGTAGCATGTCTTGCTGCTACATGCCGACACGGAACGAACATGAACGGAACGCATCACCGAGTTTTCTCCAGAAATCTTATCCTCCGCCGCTAGTTCCACATCTCACTGCAGCCGCTAGGGGGAGTTCCGAAATCCTGGAGTCCGTGACCTGCGATCTTTCCGTGGGATACACGGATGCACGCTTACAAACGGCAGGATCCTGAAATGCGACTCCTTGAACCTCTAGAAACCTCGTGTCGCATCGCACACGCCCCAGCAGGACCGAGCTTTCGGAAGCCCCCGAAAATGCAATGCTGAAAAGGCTCTGCATGGCAGCGATCTTCGTTGGCGTATCTTGCTGCTGGTATTGTTTAGGTTCACTTCCGGCTTTCTATCTGCTCACTTCGATGACCGTGGGTTCTCAGCAAGAAGATACTCGAAGCCTCTGCGAGCTTTGGCATGCCATGCAAAAGCCGCGACCTACATCTACAGTACACGTCCTTACATGTCATTACACATCCACCAGATCCATCTCCAGCTCACATGCGGCCACCACACCCGGCAGGTTGCGGCCATTGGACCTCTGCGGCCTCTGAAGGCCCTGAAGCCCTGGCCGAGGCTCGCGTTCGCCATGGGCCGTGCTCCGAAGGGCCCAGCTGCTCCAGGCCTCCGTGACCTCCGTGCTCGCGACTTCGGGCTCGGCTTCAGGCTGTGCCGGCTGTGCGGGCTGTGCCTGTGGCAGGAACGTCGCCAAGCTGTCCACGTGTCGGAGATCCAGTCGTCGCTGCGTGCGCTGGGATTGGGTCATCGCGCGCCGCAGGGTTCGCAAGGCCCTGCCGCCGCGCAAGCTCGAAGGAAAGAGGCTGCCCTGCAGCTCCGCCTCTGGCGAACGTTCGCTGAAGGCCTCACCGACCTTGGGCGCGGATGAACCGCGGGCAGCGCCAACCGTGGGGGCACGGCCTTCCTTCATGCCATAGGCCACTCCACAGGCAGGTAGCAGGCAAAGAATGCCTGCCACGAAGCCAACGACACCCATCAGAGCGATAGCCACGCCGGCTGCAGCCATCTGTCCCTCGTCTTCTCCTTCATTCACAGGAGTGGAGACCATCAGCTCGGAGGAAGAGGAGGTACGTTCAGTCGCCGTCGATGTCCTGATGTTGTCAGGCCCTTCACAAACCTCGTTGTGCTCTGCGCACAGAATTAAATGCAGGCCCTTTCCACCCAGGGGCAACCAGCAGTCCCAAGATGTCCCGAGAACCATTAAACAAGGACAGCTCTTTTTTTCGCAAGGGACTCGTCTGCTGCCCTTGCTGCCCAGCTTGACCCACAAGACAGTACTCATGACTGTGACGCGAGACCGGCCACTTCGCGGCAACAAGGACAACGCTCAAACATGAAACTTCATGGCGTATCGCAGCTATGAGAACGTTATGCAATATGAATCTTATACATACTATGTTTTGTTGGCTTGCTGCTCTTCATGCTGGTTTAGTACTTAATAGTACGACTAACACTAGTACTAAAATGCTTAAAGCTGTCCTGGTCAAGGTCGTGGTCGTGGATGGCACGCTGAGAGCCCAGTCGGAGAAAGCGACGCTGGCGGCTGAAGTGGCGCGGCCGAGTGCATTCTCGCAGTAGACAAGCACAAAGGACCGGCCACCAGCAAGCGTTCCTGCTGGAACAGTGAGCTGCGAGTGGCTGGAGCTGGTGGCGGCCACGAACACCTCATTGCTTCCAGACGCATCATCCGCCAAGTACACCGCAAAGGCCTCCATCGAAACTCATGGGAGTTGCTAGCCGACACCGCATGCTTCTAACATCGTCTGTCAACGCGACTACGGGGTCGTTAGTGGTCAGTCTACACTGGCCAGTCCCACGCAGAGCCTCATGATCACCAGCTTATCACATCGGTGGATTCAGGCGCAGGACACCACACCAAAAACGACCACAAAAAAACATTTGCGTGAACAGTACATCAGCAGACAACACGCGCACGAAACATCACCCCACACAAGCCTCCACGAATCCGTAGTCCAGGTTATCTTGCCGAGTCCACATGACTGTTCCTGTGATATACGTTGCGACGCTGTCCTCGTCCGAGAAAGAAACCGACTGAACTTCCAACGCTCCCAAGCTCGTGAGTGGTAAGTCCACGATGCTCACAAAGCCAGCCTGGCTGTACGATGCCGCAAGGTCATTGTCCACACGGTTGGGAATCACCGCGAGGAACTGGGCGTACCCATTAGACCCCAGATCGCGTGATTGGGCAAAGGCCAGTTGGTTCGTGCCCAGCGGCACATTTCCGTCTGGGGTCGTCGGGTCATCCACCTGGCTACCAGTCGAAAGAACTTCAAGCACCGACGTCGAATAGTCCTTTCTGGTCAGAAGCCACACACCATAGTGAAGATATGGCGACGTGTCCGCAGGTGGTATCCAGCTCACAGTGCCATTCAGCTGGTAAACAGCGGGGTCGTGGTCCGTGAATGATGTGGTTCCCACGGCTCTCAGTCGATCGGTCACAGTGTCGGTGACCGTGCTGCTCATGGTTGTTGCAGTTGTAAACGTTCCCGTCGTGGACGGCACGCTGAGAGCCCAGTCGGAGAAAGCGACGTTGGCGGCTGAAGTGGCGCGGCCGAGTGCATTCTCGCAGTAGACAAGCACAAAGGACCGGCCACCAGCAAGCGTTCCTGCTGGAACCTTGAGCTGCGAGTGGCTGGAGCTGGTGGCGGCCACGAACACCTCATTGCTTCCAGACGCATCATCCGCCAAGTACACCGCGAAGGCCTCCGTCGAAACTCATGCGGGGTTGCTAGCCGACACTGCATGTGTCAATGACTATGGAGTCGCCAGTGGCCACTAGACTACACTGCCAATCTACACTGTCACTTCTTCTCTAGCTGCTACCAGCTAGCTTATTCAACATGCTGGGTTCAAGCGCACGTTGCCTACAGCAAGACAACCTGCACGGAAACGGTACAAACGTGCACACGCGAGACATGTCACCCCCCCGCCCAAGCCTCCACGGAGCCGTAGTCCACGTTGTCTTGCCGGGTCCATGCGACCGTTCCTGTGACGTA